AAAGAACGGGAGGAATTGCTGAGACTGCTATTTAGCAGCGAGAAGGAAGAAGTTGCGGAAGGTAATGAAGATGCGCCGGAACTGACAGATGAGCAGCTAAATGAGGTGAGGGGCGTTAGATTTTTGGTCGTCTTTTTTTCCGAATTAGTCATGTCAATACTTCAATGGCGTTTTCTTTTTTATGTGCTTTTGTTTATAAAGTTCTTTTATTGTTGCTGTAAATTCCTCTTCTCCTAACGTTTATGGTATCAATGTAGATCCTCGCGAGAGGTGCGGATGAACTTGAGATTTTTGCTCAAATGGACCAGGAACGCGTTGAAGCTGAGAAGGCAAGAGGTGCACTTCCTCGTCTCATGACGGAAGATGAACTTCCGCAGCAGTACAAAGTCGACCTCTCAAAAGTTCCGCGTGAGAAGAAGGAGCTTGAAGTTGGACCTCGTGAGCGGAAGCAGGTAAGATGATCCGTCTTCGTTTTTATTTCAAGGCTGTGTTTTAACCTATTTCGCACAAGGTCCGGTACAACGAAGTCCTCACCGAAGAGCAATGGCTCGACGCGGTTGAAGAAGGTGACCTTGAACTTGCCATCCAGAAAAAAGAGGAAAAGCTTGAACGACGACAACGCAGAAAGATTGCGAAAGTTGGATCAAAAATGGAAGAAAGCGATAACGACGATAACGATGAGGATTATCAGTCTTCCGAAGAGGAGGTTGCGCCGCCACCGATTCCTATGAAGCGGGGACGAGGACGACCAAGGAAGAATGAGGTTGTGGTGAAGAAAAAACAGAGATCGGAGAGCCCGGAGAAGGAGATTAAGAGACGGGGACGGAAGCCCAAGCCAAGGGTGGTGGAGGAGGACAAGATTGACGCGGGGAAGAGGAGGGGGTTGAAGAGGGTGTTTGAGGCGGTTTTGAAAGCAGTGAGGGAGGCAGTTGCGCAAAGTAGTGATGGGTAAGAGTGTTTTTATTATTAGATCTCTTACGTATTACCATCTCGCGTATTGTTTTAGAACTTTCCGATCCCGATCGGCCATTTTCAAGTCTCTACCGTCAAAAGATGGTATAAGGATTATTACGCTATCATCACCGATCCTATTGCGCTTGATACAATTGAGGAACGGGCACAGGGCATACGTTACAGCTCTATCGAGGATTTCATGGTTGATATTCGACTCATGGTCAAAAATGCCAGGACGTATAATCAAGAAGGTAGTGCTATTGTTGTAGATGCTCTCGAGATTGAAAAGTAAGTTCGGTTGCATTTTTTAGGTCCGTTATATTTTAACCCTTTGCTTTAGAATTGTTGTGGAAACCTTCGCTAAACATGCTCCGGATGGTGTCATTGCCGATGAACCAGATCCATCCCCCGCCACCGCCCCTGCCCCGCGAAAACGGACCCTTCTCATCTCTGACGACGAAGACCCAGACAGCGACGCCACTCCAGTCCGCGGAGCCGGCCGTCGCAAGCAAAACAGTGACAGCGACGACAGCGTTGCAAAACGTAAACGCCGTAAGCCCGAATCAGAATCGGAATCTGATTCGGACTCTGAGTCTGAGAGTGACGACGCACCTGCTCCGACGCGTCGTCGAAAGAAGGATTCAGATAGTGAGGAAGAGACGGTTCGGAAAAGGAAAGCACGGAAAGCTGTTAGTGATTCATCTGAAAGTGAGGAGGATAGGGGTGCGAGGAGGAGACGGCCTGTGAGTGCGAGAGGACGGAGGGTTAGTGAGGGAGCATCGAGATTGGTAATAGGGAAAGCCAAGATGACGCCAAAGGAGAGACCAGTTTTGCCTTTTGAGAAGAGGGAGTTGCCAAAGTTGAAGATCAAGAGACGGGATCCGAATGCGAGTTCAGAGGCGGAGTCGCCGACTAAATCCATGTCGGAGATGGATGCGATGGGAGGGAAGATGGGGAGATGGAGGATAAGGATTGGGAGGAGGGGGAAATTTTAGAGTGATGTTATTATTTCAGAGGGGTCATATGGTCCAGCCTTATGTTATGTTTGGGTTTAAGATGGTGCTATTTTGGGTATAGGAACTATTTTGCTTCCTCATTTTTTCTTTCACTTTAGTTACAATCTGACACATGTAAATAAGTATATATATAAAGTACCCAATTTCTTTTTTTCTTTTGTTTTTCTGGCGCCTTTTATATTAAAAAAAGAAAATGTTCTTTGTGATAAACCTATTTGATTTTATTCACATGGGTATTGTGACTCTCGCACTCTACGAACGAGCCGCCAAAACCTTCCCTCACTCCTTCAACGCTGCCGCCAACGCCTTCAAATCATTCAACATGGTTGTATGACTTGCCGACGTAGCCACAACATTACATTCATATCCTGGCGGCATAGTCGCACTTGACGCCGCGACAACACCATCCCCAGGTGCGAATCTGAGTGGATAGTGGAGACGAATATCGAAAAGATGGTGGTAGGTCGATCTGCCTCGTAATGGTTCTGCCTCATCATCCGGAATATCCAGGGTTTCCTTGTGAGGGCTTCCGTCGCTGTCTAACACCCAGTTACCGGGATCTGGTATGGGTGATGCTGTGCGGTTTGAAGACGAACCTCCTTCGGCATCAGGCACCGTTCCAATCGGGCGGGAATTTATAGCATGCGGCGTAGGAGACGCCGTCTCCTTCAATGACGAAGTTTTTTCTGCATCTGACAGGATTTTCACGGGTTCCAAAGGAGGGGAGACTGTTTGTTTCAGCAAGTCCTCTGCATGTGGTGCGGTCTCCACAGGTTCCGAAACAGGAACTGCCGTCGAATTTGCAGACGAAGCTCCCTCCGCATCCGGAACAATCTCAACACGCGTCCCGGGTTCCTCCGCGTTTGCAGTTTTCTGTGACTCATTCAACGTTGGGGGACGAACTGATGTCAATTCCTCATGCGAGCTTCGTTTCCCCAGCGGCGTCAGAAGCGACGCGATAGAGCTTGACAATTTCACGGAATGCTCATGAAGCGAAGCAAGGGATGTAGGGACGTATGTGGGGAGACTGGAACTTCGGGATGGGTACGGCGGGTCGATGGTGGATGGTGTCGATGTGGGAACGACGGAAGACCGAAACCCGACGGCTGTTGGCCAACGATCGCTCCGAATAACGGTGAAAGGGGGGTATGTTATGGATGGATTGTGTTTAAGGGAGTCGAGAAATGCACGGGCGGATGTGAGGGCGTAATCGAGGTAGGTGAGGAGAGTGGTGCGCTCTTGTTCGGTTTTTGCGCGTTTAAGAAGGGGTGATATGCAGTATTTTCGCCAGCTGTTTGAATGTTATTATCAAGACAGCTTCCGGAAAACGGTAAATTCGTGCGTCATACCTTTCGACATTGAAGAAGTCAATATCAAAGTCATTTCCACCGTCGTCCACTAAGCAAGTATTTCCCTTCCGAGGCAGGAAAACATATGCGCTCCTTATACACAATGTAAAATAATTGACGAAGCAAACGAAACTAACCTGCACAAGAAATGAAGTGAAGTACCTAAAAGTTTTGGGTTCGGTATAAGCGGGGCACCTCTCCGTAACGCCCACACTATCAGAGGGACAGGTCCAAAAGGTGTACCAGCGAATACGACGCGTTTAAACAATTCCGGCCTTCTATTCACAGTTGCAAGCGTGACGAGACCTCCCATTGAGTCTACGGCTATTTAGAAATGGTGTTTTTAAAATAATAATGCTTACGTGCGATAACGGTGACAGGCTTGTTCCCATTTGAGTTATACATTTTGGTGAGATGCGCTTCGAACTCCTGTTAAGGGTTAGCATTTTGTACTCGGAAAAAAGAAACGGCGAGAGGTAAGAACGAGGATGCCAACCTCAGACGAATGCTGCAGCTCTCGTCGCCAATCGTATCTATTTTAAACGCGAGTTAGCGAAGGAGTAAGAACGGTCAATGACAAGTCTTCGATAAAACTTACGGAAACACATGAAACCTCATGTTACCACCGCTACACAGTTCAAGGGCTCTCATCTCCTTGATAAAATCGCGGCAAAGATTTATAGGTCCCACTGATTCAATAATGCTATTAAAGATTAGAAGGCATTCGTTCCCCAAAAATTACCTTTCCGCAACATGGTTGTCCCTTTGCCCATACTTGAAGTCTGGAGGAAGTTCAACACTTGCATGCACGAGATTCCACACCATCTCCATGGTAATCCACCCTTTTGCGTCAGTATCCTTGTCATTGAGGTTACTTCCATAAAACCCTGGTATCAGCACCACATCCCCTGCAAGAGATCCAAAAGGATGACGATGCGAACAATCAGGATGGCCTAGCTCTCTCTCTTCGCTCTTGGACCATGAAAACATCGAGTCTATTGAAGACAGAGAAGGGGGCTGAAATAGCAAGGAAGGGTTGGAGATGGAGGAGGACGAAGCGGTGTTGAAAGACATCCGCGTTGGGGACGTTGAGGAAGGTCTACCCAAGGACCCTGATACTGTTCTACGCGGGAACCTTGGTACAGATGCAGTGATGGAGTGCGAAAGCTCATCGTCCTCTGAATCGCTCAGCTCCTTGAACAAATTATCCATGGCGGCCCATGCCGAAGTGAAGAAGTTTTTCCCGTTGACTTCAGAAGAAGTGGTGTTAGCTGAAGAGAAGGGAGCCATCATGAGTGAAGAAGCTCTCGGAGTTGGCTCCATGACTCTATGGGTGGAGGAAGGTATGTGAGGAGCGCATTCAGGCGCATCAGAGGAGGACATGGAGTCTTGCTCGTCCATTACAAAGGGAACAGCATACAAGATCGAATGCCATCGACGACGTAGAATTTTGGGATGAGAACCGGATCGCCTCAGCGACGGCAATGGTATCAAGAAAGCCCTTTGTAGCAAGGCCAACTTTGACTACAACTCGCTTGATGAGTTTGAGAAACCAACACAATTTGCAACACCTCTGATGGCCCACATCAATTTCGGTATTTCCACCAATCAAATTGCCCATTTTACTTAATAATTTGTAAAGTATATATTTGCAATTGTACCGAAATTGTACATAATAACATCCCAGTTAGTATAGTGGCTAGTATCCGACCCTGTCAATTCAAAACAGCACGGTTGAGACCCGGGTTCAATTCCCGGACTGGGAGCTTCAGGGTACCGACCCTCCTTAACTGGTCGCGTGGTGTAGTCGGTTATCACATCTGTCTAACACACAGAAGGTCTCCAGTTCGATCCTGGACGCAACCATTTCAATATCATTTTCTGCTCCGCTAGCTCAGTTGGTTAGAGCGTGGTGCTAATAACGCCAAGGTCACAGGTTCGATCCCTGTGCGGAGCATTTCACCTAATGGTGCACTACTTCCGATATCGTCTAGCGGTTAGGATTCCGCCCTTTCACGGCGGCGGCCGGGGTTCGATTCCCCGTATCGGAGTTACTTTCTGCTCTGTTGGCTTAGTTGGTATAGCGTCGGTCTCATAATCCGAAGGCCGTGAGTTCGAGTCTCACACAGAGCATTTCCTCCCTTTATAGCTCAGCTGGAAGAGCATCTGACTGTAACTTGGCTTAAGCCAAACATTCATCAGGAGGTCACCAGTTCGATCCTGGTTGAAGGGACTCTGCATTGGTGGTTTAGTGGTAAAATTAACCGTTGCCATCGGTTAGCCCCGGGTTCGATTCCCGGCCAATGCATTTTTTGCTTTTTAGTCTACATTCTCTGTGGAATGAGAACAGCGACACTTTTAGCGCAATGGAACGCTTCCAAAACCCCAATTTTGGGGTGTTTTTACAAAAATTTTGCAACACCTTTTGCAACATCGTTTGCAACACTGGACACTTCCAAAACCTCAACAAAAATACATATTGTCATTATCATGCTTGAATTAGCTCTTCTGCTGTCAATGAACGCCGCACAGTTACTTAGAGCTTTGGAAGAATACGATGATTCCAACTCTAACAGGTTGTACTTGACAGTGGAAGACTTGGGAGATCCCTCGACCATGTCTTGGTTTACCCTGTACAATTCCGCGCGGGTGAACGTTTTGGGCTTTCTCGCTGTAACTGGATTCGATCGCCCAACCTTTGACATGCTACTGGAACACTTCTCAAGACACTACATCGTGTGTTCCGGTCCCTCAAGGCCCGGTAGGCCTCGAAAGCTTCTTGAAAAGTCAACAGTCTTAGGCATGATGCTTCATTTCTACACAGGTTAGTTTGCACCACGAGGTAGAAGGTGTTGTTTTATGGATGAACTATCTAAAACCTCGTTGATTAGGCACTATGGAGCATAGAACACTTTGCCAGCTCTTCTGCATCCCCCCAGCCACGTTGTCAAGGAATCTCCGTCAGGCGGAGTCTGCGTTATCTGCCGCTCTGGATGAAATAAAGGACGCCCAAGTACGATGGCCTACACACCCTCAGCAGCGACAATGGGCTCAGATGATAAACGCGAGAAAGCCTGCTCTTCACGGTCGATGGGGGTTTATTGACGGCAAGAATTACAGCGTTCAGGAGCCGACGCAAGAAGAGTTGCAGAATGCCTTTTACAATGGCTGGCTTCATGCTGTTTTGGTCACAGGAGTTCTCTGCTTTGGAGTTGACGGAACCATTGTGTGGTATCGCCATAACAGCCCGGGCTCCTGGAACGACAGGTTAGTAAAGGGTTAAACTAAATTCAACAAACTTATCCCACGCTCGTCAGTGAAAACTCGAGGGAGTTTAGAGACACGCTGGCTAGACGCGCGGTATTCCCTTCAAGATCATGGAGTTGTGGCCGACTCTGCCTTTCCGGTATCTGGCGACATGTTTGATCGCATTGTAACGCCGTTGAAAACTGGTGATCTTCAAAGGTGTTAGGTGACTTGGCGAACTCTTTAGCTGACTTCCTCATAGATTACCCATCGGTGAGCAGGCTCACGCGCAGCTGGTGAGTGCAGCTATAACAGACGTAAGGCAAGCGGCGGAGTGGGGAATGGGAGCAGTAGAAAAGCCATTCAGACGGCTTACATGCAAGCTCCCATACGACCCAAATCGCCGAAAACTACGGTTGACGAATCTCTTCAGACTCTATAACTTACGCGTGCGCACAACTGATATCAGTCAGATACGCACAGTCTACTCTCGTTATGCAGTTTCGCTAGATTCACTTGATTTGTGATTCGTATTGTTTTTTAATTAATAAATATTACTATATTCATAAAAAACGATAATAGATGTATATGTTTATGTTTATTTTTCTCGGGCCATAACATTTAATGATGGGATATCCAATTTCCCTGCAATTGATGCGAAAATCATGGCCATTAACTGATCTTGCTTATCTCGACGCACCTCATCGTTTAACCGACGCTCTTCAGCCCTTTGATCTGCTTCATCCCTTCGCCTCTGCTCCTCAAGACGGCGTTCCTCCGCTCTTTCTTCAGCCTGCAACCTTAGCATCTCGACTTCCATGCGTTTTAACTCCAGTTCGTGAAACCTAATGGCCTTCTCTTCCTTCCGTTCCTGTTCTTGCTCCTCCTTCATCTTAATGAGTCTTGAAAAAAAAAAAAAGTTATTTTATGCAATAAATCCTAAGCTTAACTCACTCAGTAATAGCACTCGTGGAATCAACAACTGAGGTAACTGCTGAGGATATTCGCGAACGTTTTTGAGCCTTCTGAGATTTGTAGTCCGATGCCTCTTTGGATATGGGGTTATTCGGTCGTATGCCTTGCGCCCCCAGTCTAGTTGCCACAGAAAACGTTGGCGAGGAGAGAATCTTCTTATTGCTGTCGTCCAACTTTCTCTACATCGTTCGGTTCTCTCCCCCTCACTGGCGTTTGATGATCATTATTCAGAGGTATATTCACGTCGCGAATGTTTGGGGTCCCAGGCCGACCGCTTTTCTTCCCGGCCAAATCCATGTTTTCCTTTTGGCTTTCGATCCTTCCCGCCAACCCATTTTCGTCAAAGTCTACATCCTGCTCCAAGCCTACTTCATCCACCGCATCCCAATCTTCATCATCCACGTCTTCCCCAACAATACCGTCATGCGGCGCGGCGTTCTCAAAAACATCTTCATCTTCCTCTTGTTCGGACTCATTGTCGTCGGGTGGCCCGTCTCCGCCACTAACTCTTTCTTGAATTTGTCGGTTGATTCGCTTGCACCATCGAACGTTTGCGGGACAATCGGGATCCCCTGTTGGCTTTCGTACAGAGTGAAGTGAATCGAAGTGGCTCTTGATCAACTCCGCACTGCGATGATCCTCGATTGGGAGGCCGTCATTGAATTCAGCTGCAACCTCGTTCCATTCACGTTCTGAGACAGGAAGCATGTTTTCAATAATTGGCAGTAATCCTAACATGGTTAACATTAAAGTCTTTGTATTAACTTACTTCCTTCCTCATCTTCAGTAAGTGGTGCTGGTCCTCCTCCCGTCACAATACCAGCATCTTTCTCCAGAATCTTCGAAACTTCGTTGGCTTCATCCCTCAGTTCCTGTGTGATGTTCGCCGTAAGCTTGCGGGTAGTGTTCCTGATGGACATGAACCGATTTCGTAAAGCGTCCCATTCGCGTTGACGATCGCTGCTGTGACGACGGTTGAAGACGGAAGCCACTTTCATCCACCCCATTTGGCCCTTCGGCAACTCGTTCTTAACTATTTGTATCAACTCTAATAGAATGTAAAACATTTCAGCTTATGGCTTTAAATGAGAAGTACTAGAGGACATCTTACCTTTGCTTTCGGCTAAAGAAAAGTTGGCTCCCTTTGCCTTGGAAGTCTTTAATTGAAGGATCCTTGGCTACCTTCAGGGGAGCCACCGCCCTCTTTTTCTGCTTTGTAGATGCAGCAGCGGCACTAGTAATGATGGGGGAGTTAACCCCTGATGGTGATGGGACGTCCTGAGTTGGAGTGCTGGACATGGTCGAAGGTTTGAAAAGTTTGCAACAATCGTGTTTTACAAACGTTTGCAAACGAAACGGTTGCCGAGACGATTTTTTCGTCTCGGCAATGTTTGCAACATCGTTTGCAAACAAATTTAGCAACCCCAAAATTTCTCAAAATTGGGGTTTTGGAAGCGTTCCAATGCCATCATGTTGTAACTTTTCTTCCGGAATGCAAACAGCAACACGACGTCGAGCGCAACCCTCACCATGTTGTAAGTTCCAATTATCTTTAGACTCCAGAAGAACCTGCTCATCCCCACCTGTTTGGTAAATTGGAGTTCCTTTTTTCCTCGTAAAATATGTGTGGAAGATGTTCGACCACGTTCCTCACATTGTTATAATTTTTGAAAGTAAGTCCCTTATCTCCTTCTTTCAAATATCAATTGTTGCTTACTCCTCCTTCTTTTTAAAGGCAACCCGTATTTGTGGTGCCGAATTATGGGACATGGACGCCTACCGAGCGTCCCTTCTTGGTTTACATACCGAGTTCATTTTAACTTGACGCAAAAATGGAACGCTTCCAAACCACGAGTTTTAAATTTTGCATAAATTTATGGTGAGCTGTTTAGTGAACCATTTGACAAAACCGTTTGACACACCATTTAGCAAAGGTATGCTTCCAAAACCCTGGATATATAGAGGGTTAAATCATTAACCAAGATGGTTTCGCTAGACGATGTGCTTTGATGCTGTGCATGAATTGCACAGCTTGCCGTCGTTCTGGAAGAAAGTTACTTCTCAACCTTGAACCGTATGTACCTGACTGTGAATGACTCGGCAGATCCCAATACGATGCCGTTGTTTGGCCTTTACAAATCAGCGAGGATCAATGTCAAAGGATTCCTTTCTGTTACTGGACTGGACAGGCCCACCTTTTGATATACTTCTACTTCATTTCAAGGAGTATTACGAGGTCTCCTCAGGTCCTGGTCGTTCTAGTGGTTTTTCACTTCACACCTTCACTTTAAGTACGAAAGTGATTCCTATTTCTTTACGTAAATGATGTTAACGTTTAGAGAGAATACGCGATAGATATTGCAGAGAGTATAGGATTGGACTGATACTTCCCACTTGGAGGGGGAAAGTGATCCCTTTTTATAGTCATTTTCAATAAAAGTCCTCTGGGAACTTAAAGTGCACTTCTCACTCAGATGCTGAGAATTGATGGGACATTTCCACATAACGCCTTTTGATGGCTTCTCAGCTTCTGTCGCTTCTCACA